ATGTAGCTTTTGTCATCTGCATCTGCCTTTCCTTGCAGTTTTGGAACACAGTCATATTTGCGGGTTTATGGCCCCATGTGCTGGAAGGCTGCTTTACAATAGACACGACTGCAGACTAGTTTATTAGCAATACGAACGAGATCATTCCAGTTGATAAGTATTGGAAGAGCGACGAGCCCATGAGACGACAGTCGTGGAGAGATCATCAAAGGGGATGAGGAGTTTGGCGACGAGTCGAACGGTACTGCTAGACGAGGGTGGAAATCGGATGTGAGAGGAAGCCTCGATCAGGGGCCGTATGCTATACTCCCCCTCGAGGGGTCCCCTCTAGGGGAAGACACCCCAGGGGGACGTCCCCCAGAGCGGCCGTATGCTATACTCGAGGGGATCCCCGAAGCGGTAGAGACGCAGAGTTGGCTGGCGCAAATTTGGGGGAAGGGTCACATGGTATTGAAGGTCAGCTGTCGCAGACCTTCAATACCATGCGTGAGACGAGTCACCAATACCGTACCCCAAGCATTCCTCTAAGCCTGCGCAAGAGAAGCTACTGATGAAACAAATAGATTGGGGCACCACATCCCTATCTAACTATCTATGATACCTATGACCTATGGATTCTTACAGGACTCTTTGGACATTATACTCATCTTTGAGCGCTAGGCACACACAGTAGGTCGCTAAAGTGGTACATTCTGTCTGGCTATGGGCACTTTTCAAACACCCCTATTGAGGATGACTTTAAGGGCATAAACCACGATTATTTGGTACTTGGTCTAAAATGGAAACAGTGGTGCTGTATAGAAAATAGGCGAAAAAGGGAAGTGAGATCTTCAAAAACCTGCAAAGAAGCCTCTGCTCCACACTACTCAGAGCGATTTCGGACGAGTTTCCCATTGGTAGTACCAATAGCCGTTACGGTGGATCTGCTTGTATGTACTCATATATCCATGCAACACCGTAGCCGATTCATATCAATCCATAATTTTCCTTTCGTACTAATAACATTAAACATTAACTATTAACAAGATAAACAATTCTATCTCACAATGAATTAACTTTCTAAATTTAAATAACACCAACTTTTAAAATTATCCATTAATGTTACCTCTAAAGCAATTGGTATAAAACTATGATTAGCTCCCGCTTCATACTGTACATCACAACTGAAGCGATACGAGCACCAGCATCGGTCGGACGTTTGTAGGCGGGAGGGTGTGGTGGGTGTCCGGTTCGATATGTTGTTGCTTAATGGGACTCTATAAGGGTACCTTCCTTGGACAAGGCGCCACGCAGCGCCTGCTAAGAGATGGCGAATTCTGTCCTGCTAGGCATATTAATTCTACACGTCTTGGAGATTCGGGATTTATCGTGCCACTCCCTCTGAAAAGAACCTACCTATCCAATAGTAAGACTCTTGCGATTTTCCCATCACTGCGCACTAGAAACCAATTATGATCGCGGTTTAGAGCCTTTAAATCCTACTTGAGTACAGATCCCACGCGTTCCACACTTTTTCACTCTCACCAGTGCACCCTAAAGGTGTTACTTTATCAGTGTGTTTTGCATTTGTGCTCAGCCCTCCAACTTCTTGGTAGTATACTGACAAAATATACGTGTAGTTATGGCCGTATATGAGTAAGATGCTCTGGTCGACTCCGCACAACCCCTCCTTTTTCTAGGGGGTTAGGTACGACCCTGTTCACTCTCTCCTCATCGAGCTGTCGAGCGTGGCAAGGAGGAGGGATACAGTACACACGAAACAGGCCACGAATGACCGCGAAATGGCTCAGCAACCCCTCTCAGAGGATTGGAAGAGAAATACGAACCCCCCAACAACGACCAAATACGACCCCCTCCCTAATAGCGTTCCTGAAACGTAAAATCAGCTGTCGAAAAATTTCCTCTCAACCCAAATACGACCCCCTCTCCCAGGGAGCACATACGACCCCCCCCCCGTTGGGGAATGCCCAGTTAACGATGTGCTCTTCTCTGGAACTCCCGATCAAAGGCCATCCGAGATGAAGCTGGAAACTTCGTCAAAGCTGCTCCAATTACAAGCGTGCGGCTGCGCAGCGGGAGCACTTTCTCCCCCACCCACATTCTTTTGCTCATCCTGTCCTTGTTTACGTCTCCTCTTCGCTCTCACACTGGGAATTACTTATAGTCTGGCAGTGGCACTATCTTGAACTCCGTTATGACATAAGAAGTATGGGTCAAGTGATGGGATAGCGGGTTCCTATCAGCGAGTCTGATTCCTCGACAATTTCTTAACTACTCAGCGAGTCTGATTCCTCGACAATTTCTTAACTACCTCCCACTAACTCTATAGGTCTTTCAAGACTGTTTTTTTTCTTTTTCGATAGTGCAGAATGATCACATGTTTCTGTTTTGCTCTTGAAAAGTTGCGAAAATAGAATTGTTTTTCTCGCTCACGAGCCAAGTTGAACATCGCTGCTGTTTGTTGAACGAATGTCTTTGTTTAGATAACAGGACACCAAACATCGTTTTGCAAACTGAAATGGCTGCAAGTATGCGTAATTTTTGCTAGGAAGTTTGCTACGAACTGTGAAGCCATTGTTAGCAACGGCTCATTCCATTTTCGGACGTTGAGCGCTTTTTGAATGTTTTTGCGTGTCATGGGGGCACGTGCGCATACTACCAGATCTCCAGACTGAACTTCACTCATCAATAAAAAGATCCTCGAAAAAATGATGCGTATGGTTAGCTTGGTGCGGTGATCCATTTGTTCTCGAATTCTCCATTAATCTTGTAGAGATCGAGAATATAGCTCAACACATCATATACTAGACGTAAATTTACTGACATATTTATTGCGTTTCAAATGTTTACGGGTCTAGTCAGATGAAGTATCAAAATTTTGCAGTTTTTTGCCAACAAAGCGATATTCTGCCATCTCTGCTTCTTCATGCCATCCAGTGCTCACACCATCTTGCAGTAGACAAAGAACGAAATACTGTTTCAGAAAACGAAGTCTTTGGGTTTCGGTGTGCACTACAACTAGGGAGGCGTCAGAACTGTCACTCAACTGAGGGTCGCTGCGCCTCCGTTACTAAATATAAAGCTCCAAAAGGAACATTCTTAGAGATTAATGTTAAGTCTTCGCTGGGTAACATTAAATTCCCCCACCTTCCTATCATTTGTCATGTAGTAATAGTGATATGATCATTGTCCGTCGTAGCGTCATTCGGCACGTGGTGGTTTGTTGCGTCACCATCCTGATCACCGAATCCGGGGTGCTGGGATATCGCCAATCGCGAAACCTTTTTCTTTCTTTCCTCTCATTCCTGGTTTTACTTTCTTCCTCTTCTTTTCCCCCTTGAAATGCTCGGGTAGAAGGTGAGTGAAAAATTACCTCTAGAGGCTCGCGGCGAGAAAATATCCGGTTAA